TGTATACTAACGCATCAATAATTTTTTTTTTTTTTGAATAAGGTGTCCAGTAGGATAAAATGAATGGGCCAATCCCACAAGGGAAGTGTACAACCAAACAATGCATAAAGGAAATGAAAAAGCCCAAACAAAAAACTCAAAGACAAACACGGAGGCCCAATAGGATCTAGGTCAAGAACCAAAACAAGTCAGAGCCTTTCCCAAACCCTAGCCGCAATGTACCCCCTCTGATCCTCTTTCGCTGCCGTGGCTGAGCACCACCACTGTTCCCGACATGTCGCCGCCAACCATCCTTTGAGTGTCGCCGCGAGCCAAGCTCTGGTTTGGGTACCCACCTGACCCGGAATGTAAGATGAGAAGGAAACAACCACCGAATCATCTCATACCAAGCCGATCGCCGTACACATCTCGCCGACCACCACGAGAATCGAACTGAACAATCGGACTGCCGGTGGAGGCTGAGAGTTAGAATATACCAGTCTTCAAGCTCTCCCACCCGGATCCTCGCCAAGGGTTGAATATCCGGATCGCCAAGAACTGCAAGGCAAAATCCTCCCATTATATTATGGAGGTTCTCCTTCAACACTCCCTTAATTCTATTTTTCCTTAACCCAGCGCAGACCACGGAGGGGTCTTTTGGTCGTTTCCTTTTTGATCTTATGGGCCTAAGAGCACGGAAAGATTTAATTTATGTGGGCCTAAGAGAATGGCTACTTATCTACACCTTCTTTAACTGACCAATGGAAATCTAAATAATAATAATTATGGTCCGGTTCAAATATAATTCACCATGCCCATGCAATTTACAGTATACACACACGCCTAACTTTATTAGCCATTTAGTCCTTTAAACGAGACAATTGCGCTATAATATAAAATACATATATAATACACTAACTTTAAGGATGAATTTATCACAACCTACAAAAAATTTCAAATCCATATCATCTATCACCAAAAAGTTCTAACAAAGTATTTAAACTATGAATCATAATTTTTTTTATTCAATTCAAATCAATAATAAGAGCGACAATCCGTAATAAACCAGATAAATCCGACAAGGAGGCTAGGAAATGAAAACAAAGAAGCATAAATTAAGTTAGGTGATTGATGTTGGATGGTTTTAGTTTACGTTTACGTACATTTCTTCTTGATTTTTTGTGGTTAAAATAGTGAAATAGTGGAATACTTAAACCAGGGTGGTTCATCTGGTTTCATGTCAAACCGTGAAAAATGAAGCATAAAAATGGTATTACCTTGCAATTGCATTCCTGCTACACCTTCCGTAACTTTACAATAGTGCAGAGAAGGCGGGGTACTAATTCTACACAACAACTAACTCTCGCCCGAGTACTATATAATTCACGGATTAGAGACACCCTATCTCCCACCCAACACATCCATCCTTTCCAGTTGCTTATCTGTTAGCTTATGAATTATTGCATGTATTCTTTCTTTTATGACGACTTTCATTGTTGTTGCTCTTTTACTTTCACCTGCAAGTCCCTATTCAAATGTTGTTGATATTTTACTAAATTTAGTTTCTTTTTCCTACTCACCGCCCAATTGTAATTGCCTCTATACTAACATGTTATTATGTATTGGTGGTAGAAATGAATCTGTTCAGTTCGCATATATTCATTGTTCTGGAAGGATTAAATTGTATGTAAGTGCTACAATTCTTCAATCTTGGCTTCTATATTTACTTTCCGAATTTCACTACCAATATAGTATCCATGGTTAATATGTCAAGATTCTTATTTTAGAACGAGCTAATCTATGTTTCTTTAATCACACACTCACGCATCAAGATTGAGCTTATTACATATTTTGTGAGTTATTATGATATCCATTGTGAAACAAAAATATTTGTTTCACGGTTGTTTTAATTAGAGGTTAGTCAAGATACAATCCAAGTTGGTATCCAATCCCACAACTTAATAGAGGAGATGGATTCTTTAATGCCAGGTTTCGAGGAAGTGGCTGCCAATCAATCCCAAGATGAATATTATTTTTTGCCTCGATATGATAGTTATTGACTCAAAGCGTAAACTAACAACAACCACGCGAATTCAACTCAATGATTCAAATTTGAAAATTTATTAATACTCATACTTTTTTCTTGATGATAATGATATTTGGGTGCAAATTTTCAAAGGATAAATCAAGGACTTTCATCTCCAATTATATTACTAGAGAGTTTACACTATCAAGAATTTGTGGTTAGCATGACAATGGGAGATTACAGGGCAATTCTAAACAATTTGGTCAATAAGTTTGAATCAAATATAGAAGCTGAAGCATGAAATGATATTCCAGCCATACCATCTTACAAATTTTATTTCATCTAATAAGATGAGGACAAGAATGCAACCAAAGAAAATTTATTTCGGGCTCGAATTATTATTCTCAATTCAAATTTACTTCAATCTAATGTGTATACAGCCAAAAACATTAATTAACTTCTTAAAATTTTCATTCCATGTATGTTGTTGGCCTTCTTATTCAGTATTCGGGTTTATTGACATCTAACACTCACCGAAAAAATTAACAGCAAGGAGGCTCCGATTAAGTTTGTAATTCTTTTATTTTCAGTTTAAAATAATATGCAGTACTTTAACTCTGATCGCAAATATACTATATAATTTGTGTGCAGAGGATTGGTTGTCAAGATAACTCTCTTCGATAGGATAGTTACCAAATATTATACGTTTTTATTTTTGTTTATGTCATTACTAACATTATACTTATTCAAGATCCACCTTCGAGTTGTGGACAAAACCACTAAGGCTAACTTTGTTGTTATGATATATCAAGTGGGAGATGGATTTTTTAAAATGTCGATTGAAAGGTTATTCCAAGACAACGATAGAGTGAGAGGATTACCACCTGTTCATCTCCTACAAGTTGAGGGAATGACCCCCGAACCATATTGTACTAGCAACCCTCGAAAAAATCCAGGAAGTCTCTTACCAGTCAAAATCTACTCCACATTTTTTGCAAAAAATCTCGAGAAGAAGTAAATAAAATTGTATATTCTTTTTCGACACCACATATTGTACTTTGATATCAAGCTCACATAATACATAACTAATCAACAAGTGAGTATACGATTTCTAGGATAGCGAAGGATCGGAAGAGTAGAGCTCAGACTGTCTTCCTGACTTGATCGAAGTAAATTGTACTTGCATGAAAATGATAATCAATATTAATTACAAAATTATGATATTCACGATTGGATTTGGAGTATATTCGGGACATGCACCCTCTGATTATTATTTAACTAAACAGCTTACCATGTCTGCTTCTCACGTGTTGGTTTTGTGATGCACTTAATTGCATTTATCATCCAGTAAATAAATTGCTATCAGCGGTATGCCATGTGTAAACTATACCTAGTTATATAATCAAGTATATAGCTCTTCAATATTTATATCATGTACCGAGTAGTTGTATGGTTTAACTTAGACAAATGCATTTAATTTAATAACTTAAAACTCGAGAGGAACTTTCATTTATTACCCACTAGCATGCATGCAATTGTATACTTGGTTGTATTATCAAGTGTATATGTCTTCAATTTTTATACCATGCACAAATATATGCCTCCATTTTCTAAACGTGCACAAATGACACTTGGTTGTATTCTTAAATCTATAGGCAAATGCAGGTCGTTTATAACATAAAGCTCCGGTGGAACTTTGCTTCCTTTGACACTAACATGCAAGCAATTTTATCCGGCTACAAGTTTTACTCCAATATATTTTAAATACCTATGATTCTAGAAAATTAGACTATATGTTGTGCTTTTGAATGTAGATGATCTTAATTCATAATACTAATGCAAGAGAACAAGAATGAGACCGCTAATGGTGGATGTATTAGATCCGGTGCTTGAGATGACGATGATCTTGAGAAGAAGAAAGACATTGTTCGTGAGAAAGATACAAGTACCAATGATGAGGAGAAAGAACGAATCCTTGATATTGTCTACAACTTGGACGAGGTAAATTCTACTATAATGAAAAAGATGATTGGTATTTGTAAATAGTTTCCATCAAATTTTTGTGCTCATTCAAAAGCAAGAAAACTAGGAAGAGAATATTGAAATGCAAGAGAAGAAAGAAGAGGAAATTGATAATGGAGATGGAGACAAAATAATTGGTGCAGATGATGATGCTACTCATGACGGTGAAAATGCAAACAAGTCAAAAAGTAAATGTGGAGTAATCTTTAATGATGAGGAGAAAATAAAAGGGTGATTTTAAAATGTCTTTAGGAGTCGGTTGGAGTTTGTCTTCAATTTTCGTGACAGGATTTAGTCGACGAGTCAGTTTTAATGTTGAAAAACACTATGATATTGATCATTTTGAATTGTTGAAGTACTTTAATAATTTGGATCATCTTATACTAATCAATTTGAATGTTTCGAGTATTTGAATAATTTATATTTTCTTATACTATAAATACCCACGTATCTAACATACAATTTGATAATGTTGTTTACCTAATTGGCAATGGAATCCGGCCAACTGGCTGGGCCCGCGACTAGTAAGGAGGTAGACCAAAGAAGGGGAGAGGAGAAGACAAGTCGGATTTGTCAGATATAATGTTATATATTTTATAACTTTATCGTTTTAACGTTCAAACATGGTCGCCACATAAAATGAATTTAACGAAATTACAATGAAATAAAATTTAAAAGTTAGTGACTAGTAAACAAGGAAGATACCTTGAGTGAGAAACATCAAATACATAAATAAATTGAGTAACAAATCTGTAATTCAGGAAAATATACTCATCCCATTTAACGAATAGTATACAATACATAGGCCTTTATCATTGACGAAAGCAGCAACAATTATTACACCATAACATAAGTTAACAGGGGCTTTTCTTTTATTTTGTTTGAAAGGGAAGATTTTCTTATTGTACATGAGGTATTGGGAATCGCCATCCCACTGAGACCCACTGCAAGTTCCTGAAACCTTGGGTTCTAATTAAGCCGAAGAGGAAGACCACGCATTTGAATCAATCCAGTTGAAAGCAATTGGGCTGAGGAATGCACTGGGGACGCCAAATGAGCTGACCAATCCAAGCGCATGGGGCCGCAGCTCGCTGCAAAGCTTCGCCACCTCTGCCCTCACAGCAGCTGCCTTCTCCGTCGATAAGTAGCCGTATCGGAGGAAGGCAGCATCTTCTTCCATGCACGTCAAAGCGTACAAGGATCTCAATTTCCCCACCGCATCCTGCGCTCATATGGAAATCGAATCAAACGCATAGAACGAGACTCCATTCGTTCAATTTCTTCCTGACTTTGTACCCAACATTAACTGAGTAAAGACCAACCGTTATACCTTCATTGGACCGGTCGATACTGTACCCTCGTCGTTGAGGAAGGTTTCGAATATGATTCTGTCGGAGAAAGCTCTCCCCAAGTCCTCCGCGAGTTGATAACCCTGGTATGGATCATGAAAATGGCAACACAATAAAAGTGTTTTGATTCAGCTGTTGCTGATAATTTGATATTTTTTCAAGCTCATGAGAAACGAATAAACTGTATGTTGTTGGGTTTTGACACTGAGTAATGACTGCTGTAGTAGGTGCCTTTCCCAGTAAAAGGGAATGAAATGTTCTTACCAGCGCAAAGGCATACTCTTTATTCACTCCATTCGACTGATGTTGCGACATCTCCGCAGCGAAACGATTCAGAAGGTCTCGCTCTCTCAAGCGGAGAGCAGTAATCTGGCGTCAGCTAACAGGGTAAGGGATATCGCTCCATAAGCATCACTTAAAAAGAAATGAAAGGTATAACGGCATTACCTGGAAATTACTGCTTCTGAGGATGTCACTTGTGAGTTGGGATGGAATGACAGGCCAATGTTCATTCATGTACTCCAACCCAAGACCCTTGAAAGGCTTATTCTTTTTCTTCGCGGCTATAAATTCTCCAAGGAGTGCTTTGCTTACCTGTCACGATTGGATTTTAAAGCTTACATTCATTCTTCTTGTGCTTGAATATCTTGTTTGGCCAACGATCAGGTGAGATCGCTTATGAAAAGAGATTCCAGGAAAAGCTAGAGCATCGGTATTTACCTGCTGCATGAGCACATTATTATCCCCTTCGAAAGTGGACTGGACATCATATTCACCCTTGAGATGTCCAACTTGATTCTCAGTCTTCAACCCTTGTCCACCACAGGCTTCACGGCATTCCTGAAAAGGATACATAGAATTTGTGAAACTATTCTGCAATAACAGTAAGACTGCCTTGAATGTTCTCATATTGTAATGTTCTCACTTGTAATGTTCTCATATTATGCCAGGTCAAGACAGCTTTGAATCCACTTGAAACCACATGGATGGTTTTATTTGACTCGGGCGTCCTCTTCACGTACATCTTCTTTAAGTAATTCCCAGCACAGGTCATAGCATATCTACAATTTACCAGAATCATCAAAAAGGTTACCCAAGGCAGAAGCAGTATTTATACAAATTACAAAAAATGACTAACAAATATGACAATATCACTTGTGTAGCATTGTCATCCAGAGATCTAGAGTTTGAAATTGGTAGTCAACAACAGATCAAATGTCTTCATAAACGGTCTAAACACTAAATATGACTACGATTTTGAACGTCATACTACCATAGCACACAAATCATTTCAATTTTCACGATAAACTTATTCCAGATTAACTTGATGCAGGTTTTCCAGAATGTGAGCATGAAGCTTAAAACTCTAATTCCCATTCTTAAGTAACCAACATGATATCCAGATATAGACTTCCAATATAATGTAAATGAACTAAGAATTAGCCAAAGTGGCATCATACTCTCCCTATGCAAATGACAAAATACAACGCAGTTGACAACTCAACCCTTGTGAAAACTAAGTATCCCAACTGTCTTTTTCTTCATTATGTTTGGAAACAGAGTGTAGTAACCATTCAATAGATATATATGCACTTACGTCTTGGCAACAAGAGGCAAGAGCCTCCTTTGGTGACTTGGGTAGTCAAGCAATAGGACTTCTGGTTCATTAGGTACAAACGAGAAAGCACGCCTACTGAGTGCATATCTGATGGCAATTGCTAAACCAATCTGCTCAAAAAAATAGTACCATATCAAGAGTCATAGCCAAGACTGAATCCGGAAGATAGAAACACATGGTACCAAATCAGACAAAATAGTAACTGGCGCATAATCAGCTAACGAGCAAATAGTGAAAGTGATTATACAACCTGTTCTAAATACTATGGCGTAGTCAATTCTTCAGTTCACACTATTTAACCAGAGAAAATTAAGGGTGACAACTTCCTGCCCGTAGAAGTAATGACTGGCTACTAAATGCATCAACTATCCCTTCAGCTTCTTAAGTATCGGCATATGCCACATGAACTGAACAGTATAATAACAATCTATGATATCCAAAGTAATGATGTTTTTGGGAAGCCTTCCTACCAGAGACTATGGCTGAGAAGTCCCAAGGAAGAAGACAGGATAAGAAAGAAAATAGAACATAACCTGACAATAATTGGAGTAATATGATCTAGCATGCCTGATTGCTTATTGAATGATCCATTGATTATATCCAATTAAGTACAAATCCAAATAGAAGACTTCATATTGGAGACACCCAATATATGGCCAACAAGGAGAACGAGCTCATATTTTTTTTTGTTATATCATGGGTCAAAGCATATATATGTAAAGATCAAGGGAAAGCATATATACATATTAAAACCAGCTGTAAATGTAGTATCAGATGCCCATGACATGAAAGTTAACTCTCATCACTTCATGTTACTTACCTGTGCGGAGTAAATTGCAGAAAGAGAAATAGTTACACGACCAGATGTCAGAGGGGCGAGGAATGCTGCGAATCTCTGTGGTAACCAAGAGTGTGAGTAAGTATCCAACCCGTAGAGCTAGATCGATAAAATACTGAGATTTCACAGCATGAAAAGATTACCTGATCAGGGTCTTGTATTGCACTCTTATATTGTCCATCTGGTGTGACATCAGCAACGGAATTCAAAAGATTCTCTCTAGGAATTCGGACATTGTCAAACCTGATAAGTGATTTGAAATGCTCTCTTTCAATTCCTTCATATAGATAGAAAAATAGCAACAAAACAGGTGAGGTAAGTACCAGATTCGACCATTGTCGACTCCGTTTAGTCCAATTTTGTGACCACAATCTGCAATGCGGATGTTCGGGCATATGTTCCCATCGAAATCTCTGAGCTGCACTATAAATGCATGAACTCCTTGGTTTCTTCCATTTATGTTGAGCTGTGAAAACACTACTGTGTGCGTTGCATGCTGAAAGCAACCAGAAAGAAAAATAACAAAGATCAAGATGCTAAAGTGGATACAAAAATAAACCTATAAGGGACTTCAGTAGAGGGAAAGATTCACAAGATATAATACTGTGACAAGAAATCCCTCCACAAATCCTTACATTAGCAGCTCCACCAATCCAATACTTCTGAGCAGATTCACAAGGCGTAGTTATCACAAACTCATCTGTTTTGGGATCATAAGTTGCAACAGTTTCAATTCCTCGAACCTTCAAAACATTGTAAAAAAGAAACTGTTAGGAAAAGTACACAAATGAGGGCATAAAGGACCACATAGAGAACCATCGGACCCCACATAACATAAAATTGACATCCTTCACCTACATTACTTCCATGTCCCAGCTCAGTCATGGCAAAGCAGCCCTTGATTCTGTACGTTTCAGTGTCCCTCAGCCACTTATCATGGTGACGCTTTGTACCAAAGAATTGAATAGCACCACCCCTAGAATCACAGTACACAGAAAATGAAAACTTGAGGACCATTCTTCTTCTCACTTGAAATCAAGCCAAATCATCTGAACTATCCGCCTCAAAAAGTACACGGAAGACCCAAACAACTTATGGGCTCTATACGTTGGTTGCACAGAGATCAATTTAAACCAAGTGTTACTTATGCTGAAAGTAAGCAGGACATACTGATCCAGAACCTAACCGTGCATTCTTGACACAGAACCATGTTTGATGAGCATCACAGACGTCTGAAATTCAAAAGCACATACCCTTTGATGTTTAATTTAATGCATACAAAGGGACTAACATATTGACGACATAATTAGAGTTAGTTGATCATCGCTGCAATACTAGCCAAGAATCATATAGCAATAGCCCGGTTCAATTTGCGAGGAACAAAACTGACTGACAAACAATTAAGTCCATACTTTCAGATTCTGGATGATTACTGATCAGAAAGAGAGAAGAAATGGAATAGAGATAGGGCGGTAGGACACACCATAAGAAGAAGTGGACACCGATTTTGATCGCGAGGGACTGGTCGAAAATGCCGAGAGTCTCCATGAAGGCGAATTTCCTCATCTCCGTTTCCGGTCCTCTGGTGGTGAGCCAGCCGTCGAAAACACCTCTCTCCAACAAATACTCGATCCTCTTCATCGTCATCTCCCGCTGCTGCTCCTTGGTGTGATTGAAATCCGGCATCACGAACACCTTCCCTCCTTTCTCTTGCGGGTTGAACAGTTTGCTCTGCATCATCAGCCCGAACAGCCAATCCCGGTCCCGGAGATTGTGCACGTCGAGCAACTCCCGCATCTTCCTGACCTCGAATTCGATCTTTTCATGGAGCTCGGGAGGGGAGTAGCTCAAGCAGATGTTGGATTGGAGAGAATTGCCGCCGACCTGAAGGTCGGAGGTGGTGAGGTGATTGGACAGAATTCGAGTCCGGCGGGAAGCCCGATCGGTTGGGGATTCCGACGACATTTCTTGGCTTACAAAGTAGGGTAAGAAGCAAGCAGGTTTCAGCTCCTGCGATTTCGCCAATGATACGTGGGACACGAGAAATCAAGATTGTATCGGGGAAGGAAGACAGGAGATCGGGTATGAAATGGGCATACATTCACCGCGTGCCTAATTGGACCAAGGTGAGCAATGACTGCTTGTTCAATTTTATTTTATGTCAGTCCTCCTCGTGAAGCGTGAATGGATAACATTAATGGAAGAATCACCCAGAACTATAAACTCTTCTTTTGGTTTTTTATGGAAGAACCACCCATAATTTTTTTGACCAAAAACTGGACGGAAAAAGCTATATTACCCGGCTCATTGCCTCATTCCCACAGAATCCTGTCGCAGCATGTTACACAAGGCCACGTAGGGCCCGGAATCCCATTCTCCCGGCCCACATCACAATGGGCTCAAAAGTGGCCCGCTAGGGGCAGAAGAAGCCTAGTCAACGACGCCTCTCAACTGATCGCCTCGATTCTCACCTTCTATGAAACAGTCTGCATTCCAACCCCCATTCTGCCTCCCAAATTCGTGACCAAGAACAGGCCCAGAGGATGCGAGACTGGTTTTTTTTTTTGAAAAGATATCATATATTGATCAAATCAGAAGATAGTTACACCCTGGAAACCAGTCAGGTCTGGAAATCAAAAAAACAACTCATAGTCGGGTACAAAGAGAGGACTTTTCTAGCTACCCTATTGTTCTCCCGTCCTACAAAACGCACACTAAAGCCAGGCTGAACACGAAAGTAATGAACAATCTCTTCAAGAACAGCACCCAACCGGCTATCTCTTGTGTTGGCCTGATTAATTTTGTCGATTATTACTTTCGCATCGCCCTCAAAGCAGACCTCCGACAAACCTTGCTCCATACACCAAATAATAGCTTCCCTAAGCACAAGCAATTCTACCACCGCAGGATCATCTATTTGAGCGAACTGGACCCCTCTAGCCAGAAAAAGAGTCCGAGCTGGGTCAAAAAGAACCATCCCACCAGCCGAATGAGACCCACTCTTAGTAGCCCCGTCCCACATGCAAACCCAATGGGCACCATCCAAATGTGATGTTTAGTGCATTATCGGGGGCTGAACCCTAGGCGCCTGATCCGCCGGAAGACCCATCCATTCCTCAAACTGCTGGTTAAACTGTCGCATGAGTGCCGGGATCCCAAATTGCTTGCCTTCAAAGACCACACAATTTTGAGATCTCCAGATTCGCCAAAGGATGGCAACAACAGCCATAACCATCTCAGAATGATGGATCAAACCCAACAGACGTTTGAGAAACAAAGGGAAAGTCTGCCGAGGCAAACCCTCTCCCAAGTATTCCAGCCCCGAATAATCCCAGAGAGCCCGGGCCACCGGACAATAAAGGAACAAGTGTTCCATTGTCTCTGGGCCATCCCAACAAACTGGACATCGAGGTAGCACCGGGACCTTCTTTTCAATAAGCGCCTCCATAGTCGGCAGAGCCCGATTAAGAATTTGCCAAACAAATATTTTCAACTTTGGAGGGATTTTAGCCTTCCAAACTTTCATCCAGCTCGACTTATCCATCCAGCTAACCGAGGAACGCCACCCCCCCTTCTCCTGTCCAAATCAACTGCCAAATGATAGGTCGTCTTAACCGAGAAGATCCCATCAGCCGTAAAATGCCAAATAAGCTTATCAGGTACATCCCGACGCGGGAGGGGAATAGTTTTAATAGCCTTACAGGTGGATGGGTCAAACCATTGATTGAGCATTCCATCAGACCACCTCCCTCCCCCCTCACTAATAACCTCCGCCACCAAGGGATCACCCCCCCTCAGGCAAGACCCGGGGATTATAGGACGGGGGATCTAACTGGTACCGAGGAATCCAGTTAGACTAGAGAAGGGAGACCGATTGACCATTGCCAATCTGCCATCGCAACCCTCTTTCCAACAACTGACGCCCATAAAGGATACTTTGCCACCCCCAAGAGGGTCGTGATCTAGCAGTCGCAGTCAAAAAAGACCCTTGAGGGAAATACTTGCCTTTATAGACCTGGGCAATAAGTGATTGAGGTTCATTGAGGATACGCCAGCCTATCTTAGCCAAAAGAGCTTGATTGAAATGCTCGAACTGGCGAAATCCCATCCCCCCATCATGCTTACTCCTGCACATGTTCCGCCAGGATACCCACCTAATCTTAGGATTCCCATCCCCCGCTCCCCACCAAAAACGCGCCACATGCTTATCCAAAAGGCGACAAAGAGCCAGGGGAAGCCGAAAACAGGACATAACATGAAGTGGAAGAGCCAACGCTATGGATTTAATTAAAGTTTCCTTAGCCGCCCACGACAACGTCCTTTGCTTCCACCCCTGAAGCCGCTCTAAGAGTTTGTCCTCCAAATATCTGAAAGTAGCTGTTTTGGATCTGGCAACCAGCGTTGGAAGCTCCAGATATTTATCGTGGACCCCCACCGCCCCAACCTCTAGAATTGTGGCCAAGAACTCCTGATCTGGCAGGGAAATATTCTTGCTAAAACAGACCGCCGATTTCTCCAAATTAACGCGTTGACCACTCAGTTCCTCATATTCATTCAACACCTCAATTAAAGGAAGGCTACAAAAAGGACATTTTGGCACACGCCATAGGTAAGATATATTTGCCCACTCTCATTGATAGTTTCATGGATCAAAAGGTTTTTTTTATAACTGGATCAATGAGATTGGAGGGTTAATGGATTGTTGGACTGATCCATGAATTCAAATGATATTCAAGTCTTGGACCCTTATATAAATTCCGAAAAGTTTTGATACTAAAACGTAATAATGAAAAAATTAGGTACCAAAACATAATTTTTCAATGATATTTTTTGTATAAAAAATAAATTTTAGGTTCTAAAATGTAAATATGAAAAGTATAGGTACTAAACCGTAATTTGCCATTTGGATCACATGGATTGAATTAAGTGTATAATTTGGTGGATTGATTGGATTGGATTCATGGATATGGATCTCAATTGCCACCTCTATTGGCAACCTTGTCTTGACCGAGTAAATTTCATTCTTTGTTTGTTTTCAAATTAGTGAGTTAGGTTAAGAGGAATTCGTGATTATATATGCTGATCACTTTCAGTGGCGCGGCCAGAAAATTGATCAAGTGGGGTGTCATTCTTCATATCATAACAAATTAACTACATAATATAAAAGTCAACTCTAAACGAATTAAAAAGGCAACAATATAATACTCAATATTCGTATGGTTACAAAATAATAGTTAGACGCACATCACTTAAAATGATCAACGATGAGATTTCATAGTCTAAAAGCATTGTAGAGCACAATCATTGTCCAAATTAGCACACAAATCTTGTTAAATATGTGTCACCAACATGTCCCTTCGGGAACATCCGATAAAATTGGAACGATACAGAGAAGATTAGCATGGCCCCTGCGCAAGGATGACACGCATGTGTCACCAACATATCGTTCATTCAGTTCTAATGATTGTTCTTCATATATTTCATTTATGAAAATGATTTCTCTATACTTGTTGTTGCAACAAGCAGAATAAGTGTAAATTAAGAACAAAAAATAAACATTTGTGTGTATTTGTTTTCGCAATTGTTTTTCTACCCATCAACCCTTTATAAGAAGTATTTGAACCTGTTATCAAATGCTAGATCACAAATATATGAATTCAACTTGTAAACAAGAAATTTCATAAGAGGTGCTATTAGAGTGTTTTGACGGGGATGGTATTACCCAACCTGACCCGAGACCCGTAGTAGTGTGAGACGGGGCATGGGTATCTACTTCCGACCCACTGTGCCTTGCTCCGCCCCGTTCTTGGCCCATTATATCTCAATTTCTTATAATATTTATACATATTTCTCCTATTTTGACTTCTTCAACTAGTTAGAATCAATCTTTCAACTTGTTAGACTCAATTACCCATTTTTGTCACTATTTTTCATTCATATCGTGTTTTTCCTTTCGTTTTATCATAAAAAGTAAAATTTGCGTGTATTTTTTCAAATAACATGTAAGAGTGGGTCGACCCGCACCGTACCCGTGCGGGTTTTACCCGCCCGACCCACAGTAGCGTGGGGTGGGGCATGGGTATAGAGGTACCCACCCCATTGTCGTCACTAATGAGTATTCGATGTCCAAATCTATCTTATTTTTCACTCATGGGCTTGTATTCTCATCATCCTTCTGATTCATTGATGATACATATTCCTATTGAGTGTATTATATCCCTGAAATGCACAAAATAGCACTCAAAGGCGTAAAATAGTACAAAAACACACTCAAGGTCTATCATATGCATGTAGATCAAATAGTTACGATCATTATGCAATATAATTAAATATACTAAAGATGCATCGATAGAACGAGAAATTTATCAAATATAGGGAGTGATAGACACTATAATTTGAGCATCAACGATTGGTTGTAAGTGGGTTTATCGGATTAAAAAGGAAGTCAGATGGCTCTGTTTAGCACTGTAAGGTGCGCTTGGTCGGAAAAGGGTTCACTAAACGGCCTAGAATTGACATTTATGCTATTTACAATCTCGTTCTCAGTCATGTTACTGTTGTTCTTATAGTATTCAACATTGCTTTATCTTAGTGGTGGCCTATCTTTCAGTTTCCCGTCAGCAAAACCTTTCTTCAAGGCTCATTTCATGTGGAAGTCTATATGGAGTAATCTCTGGGTTTGTGTGGTCCTGAATATCCCCATCATGTTTTTTTCTTCTTCAACGACCCATCTACAGCTTACGCCAGACACCTCGCTCCTGGTACACTGCTCTAAGTTCTTATATGGAAAGTGAAGGGTTTGTCAAAACAACATCTAATGACTAACTGTTTGTCTATCATCGTGGTACTACCATTATGTAATTTCTCATCTATATGGATAAGTTGTTGATCACGGATAATGATTTTACACTCATTGCTTAGCTTCAAGACCAGCTGGCTAATTGTTTCTCTCTAAAGAAGCTTCG